AGCTTTGCTATTATGTGTCTTGCTGTATTTTTCCTTTCATCATGGAAGTTTGGCATTCGCCTTGCTTCTTGTATGTCTATTTTCAGCTCCTTTTTCATGTTTGGGAAGTTCTTGTCAATTATTTCCTTGAATATTTTCTTTGTTCCTATGTCCCTCTCCTCTCCTTCTGGGATTCCTATAACTCTTATGTGTCCTTTCTTCATGGAGTCAGATAGTTCCCAAAGTTTTTCTTCATTCTTTTTCCTTTGTACTTCTCTTTCGTTTTCTATTTTGGTTCTTTTTATTTCTGTGTCTTTGAGAGTACATATTCGTTCTTGCATTTCATCTATTCTGCTTTCACTGCTTTCCCCAGAGTTCTTTAACTCCTCCATTGATCCTTTGATCTCCTGCATTTCTTTCATTTCCCTCTTTAGGGACTCAGTTTCATTCTTCTGATCATTGATTATTTTATTTATTTTTTTAAAGATTTATTTATTTATACAAGAACTGGGGTACAGACCAGATGTGTGGGAGGGTGAGAGGATTCACCAGAGACAGAGTAGGGAACAGAACAGGCAGACCGACGAAATACACTGCTGAGGGGAGCAGCGAGCACTACAGGAGAGGTCTGCTGCGCCATGTGGGACTCTCCCCGGCCGGCCAGGATCAAACCAGTGCTGCAGAGGCTGCAGACAGCTTCATAGCATGGCACTCAACCGCCTGCACCACCAGAGGAGGCCCCGTTGATTATTTTTCCCTTATCATTGTTTTCATTTATGACTTCTGTCAGTTTTTTAATCATGGCAATTTTAAATTCTCTTTTTGGAAGGCTCAGAAGTTCTTCCAAGTGACTGTTGTTGCATTCTGGTGGGTGATTTTCTTTTTGTGGTGTGTCTTTTCCCTGAGGACTTGCTTGGTTGCTTGTAGTTTTTCTTCTCCCTGCTGCTTGTTTTCTAATTTGTCCAATGCATTGGGACACTGTGTCGCTGGTACTGGCCAGCATCTTTTTGGTGTGCTTTTTCTGGGGTGTCGGAAACTGGTGGTCCAATCGAGTCAAATACTGTTATGCCAGAAGTCCAGTAGGGCAGTGGTACTATGAATATGGTAATGGTCGTTGTCACAGATTATCTCCTCCTTCTGTATTTGTTTAATTCCAAAGGTATGTGTTGAGGTCCCACAGACTGCCCTGGAGGTGGGGTGGCTGATCGCCCTCTGGGCTCCAGATGACTGAATCCCCCTCTGGGCTCTGACTCCCTGCCCGACTTTGGGGGTCTTCAGCTCACCTTTGGCTGTGGGGGCAGCCCTTTCCCAATTCCACATAGTCTCCATGGGTTCTGGAGGCAAAGATCCCTTTTCTAAGTGGTGGCTGGATCCCCCTCTGGGCTCCGACTGGCGGTCAGACAGGGCCTGGCGTGTGGGGGCTTTTCAGCTCACCTCTGGCTGTGGGAGCAGCCCTTTCCCAGTTCCAAGCAGTCTCGGTTGAAGCAAAGATCCCTATTCTCAAAGCTCTTCTTTTTAAAGAGTTGGTAGATTTCGCTTGAATGCCACGTAGCTCTTGGCTTTTGTTTTTTAGATTTCTGATTACTGTTTTAATTTCCATGTTCATTATTGGTTTATCCGCTCTTTAGTTTCTTCCTAGTTTAGTCTTGGTATTGTTTTAGAAATTTGTCCATTATTTCAAATTTATCCAATTCATTGGTATATAGTTCATAGTAATCTCTTATGATCCTATTTTTATGTCATGTATGGTAATTTCTCCTCTTTCATGTAATTCTGTTTATTGATATTTTCATGCTTCTTTTCTTTGTTTGCCTATTTATAGGTTTATCTATTTTATCTTCTCAAAAAGCCAACTATTAATTTCATTGATCTTATGTATGATCTTTTTGATTTCTATTTCATTTATGTTTGCTCTTATTTTTATTTCCTTTTGACTATTAACTTTGATTCTTTATTCTCATTTTCCAAGTTGCTTTAGATATAATTTTAAAAGGTGTTTATTTGGTATTCTCCTTGCTACTTAATATGGGCCTGTATTGTAATTATCTTTCTTCAGAACTCTTTTACTGCATGCCATAAATTCTGATAGCTTGTAGTTTTATTTTCATTAGTCTTGAGGTATTTTTTGATTTCTGTTATAATCCAGTAGCTATTAAGCAACCTATTATTTAGTCTCTATGTATTTATGGGTTTTCTTGCTTTAAAAAAAAAAGCTAATTTCTAACTTTTTGGCAACATGATCTGAAAGAGTTCTTGGTATGATTTCAACCCTTGTTCTTTTATTGATAATTGACTAGTGCCCCAACATATGCTTAGTCTTGAAAATGTTACATGTGCACTTGAAAGAAAAGTATATGCAGTGGGTTTTGAGTGGAATATTCTGTAGATATTCGTTAAGCCTCTTTGGTCTAGTTTTTCCTTTAAGATTTTTATTTCCTTGTTTATTTTTAGTCTTACTGATCTGTTCATAATTATAAAATTTTGGTGTGGCCAATTATCACTCTTTAGTTCTGTTAATAACTGTATTATGTGTCTTGAATGTTCAAGGCACCAAAAGTTCACCTCCAGTGAACATCAAGGATTTAAGCTAAGCTTCCCACAGTGTTGTAGCTCCCAAGTGTGGGAGACCCACCATGATCCCTTCCACTAGGTCAACTCCTCAGCCAAAATGTCTCACATGGTCTTGTGCCAGCCTCTGTCTGGGCTGTGGCAAGCATTAGTTGTAGTGCTGAGTGAGAACTAGAGTTGAGATAGGGCCATAGGCCAGGAATTGTTCCCTTTGCTTTTTCAGTATTGAGCCTTACCCTGGGGCAATTGCTCTTTTAGTTAGGATCCAGGTGATTAGTGAGATGTCAATTCTTTTGAAAAGTTTAGAATCCTCTTGCAAACCCTTTTTAAACTTCACCTGTTTGGCATAATCTAGTCTGCTACTGTGGGTTTTCATAAGCCCTAGACATTTTCCATATGCCTTTAAAGGCATTTAGCATTCCCTTGCACTTTTTTTTTCCTTCGGTGCCTCTCCTGTTTTTGCTAGTAGGGCATTTATGTTCAAAAATTTTGTTTTATGCACAGTTCCATTCACTTAACAGCATTGCATTTGTCCTACTCTAGTGGGTAATATATTTCAAAAGGTCCAGTACAGAAGAGGACATGTTAAGAATGCTTGATTCATGTTGTGCAAAGGTAATGTCCTGAATGCTATTTTTTTCAGTATTAGAATTACACTTGGTACTTGAACAGCAGGGTATTAGGATTCTGAGAGGGATTTCATTAGTAGAGGCACATGGAAAAGAATTTACCAGCAATATAGGAATTACCTCACCAGCACACCAACTAAACTTCCATTAGTGTAGCACTTATGTAGGATGACATATCTGATTTTATGGAGAGGAATATAAAGGTAAAATACTTATGTGGCTGCTGATACCACCCAACTTTTACGATGGGGGTTGCTTAAAAATTCAAACTGCCTGGGATGTTTGCCGGTGAAAACAATCAGATTCAGAAAAATTGTTTAATTCTATTTCTAGGTCAACATTAAAATGATGCAGATGACCTAGATTTTTAACTTTCTATACCTGTGACCATGCAGTTATGATATCATGGGAAGACCCCATGTGGGCTTGTGAGTCAATGCATATTAGTCACTTCTAGCAGCAGCACAAGGAGGCCACTGCCACATAATAAAACTCAAGGGAAAATTGCCAACTGCAGAAACAGTATTGGAAAAATGTCAGCTCTTGGATGAGAGAAATCACTTCAAAGTTAAATACCAGCAGGGTAAGATGATGCCTTTCAGGGACGAATAAGCACCCTGAGAAACACAGTAGTGTCTGTTAACCTAGGACAGATTGGGGGTATATATTCTAGGAAATAATCAGAGATCATTGGTAGAATATAGCTATAAGGATGATTAGCAAAATATTATTTTAAAAAGTAACAAAAAAATCAGAAAAACTCATATAATTAATCATAGGCAATTGATTAAAAAATTATGGTTTGAAAATGCAATGTGATACAGCCATTAAAATGATTTATAGAAAATTTAAACATGAAATGCTATTCATATAAGCATGTAATATTTATAGATCATTGCATTGTATGAATATACAAATGTCCTTTAAAAAATCATGTTAAATGGATGGAGCTAGAAGGAATTATACTCAATGAAGTAAGTCAGAAGGAGTAAGAAAAATATCGGATGCTTTCACTTATAGAAGGAATATAGGGGGACCAAATAAGACATCCAGGGAAAATAATAACAATATAAAACACAACACAACACAACAAAAACAGACAGACCATTATAAAGCAGAGATATCCTGCAGGGGAGGAGGTGGGAGAGGGATCATAGGGAGGGAGAGAGGAGCACAGGGGCCTGAGGTGATGGTGCACGGGTGCATTGGTGAAGGAAATTCTATGGGGACTACACCTGGGAGGGGGGGAATCAACACTATTTAAAAATGAACAATGATGTAAAATATTTGTCAATAAAAAAAAAATCATGTTAAAAGCACAAAGGTGTGATTCTTTTACAAGACGTTTAAAGTCCGGGGAAGAAGTAACCATATGTGAAAAGCAGTTATCATTGCTGGGTGGTAGTGGTTTTTGCTCTCCTTTTGCTTAGTTGCATAGTTTTTCAAATAGCCACAGTGAACATGTATTTAATTACTTTGCTATAAGGAAAAGGTATCAAATACTGATATACAGTATCTTTTGTATCAAATACAAAAGATATACAAATATCAAATGCTTTTATTTATTTATTTAATCATTTTTTTATGAACAGGTACTTTTATGTTCATTGAGGCTCCCTGTCTTGTTCTGTTGGCACTGTGCCTTGGGGCACAGCTACTGAAGTTGTGAGTAGACCTTGCTCAGTAATGAAGACTCATCCCCCTAGGTCAGGTAGGGTTGATACTTTGAACTTTGGCTTTATCTCAAGTTTGTGGTTTTTTCCTGGACTTTGTGGTGAACTAGAGCTACCAAAAGAAACTAGAGTTCCTTTTGCAGACACTCACCTGAATACAGGTCTTCATACAGATGTTCTTTTTCCGGATGCTGCTTCTCTTCATCCTTCTTCAGATATGTGTGTTCTTCCGCATAGCTGTCCTCATACAGGTACTCATACAACCCCAGATATTGGTCCTCTTCAGGAAGCTGTGGTTCTTCCTTACTCTCCTCATTTAGCTTTACTTCAGCATCTTCTTCCTCTGAAGTTGAAGTCTGTGTGGAATGTTTGGATGTTGTGGGAGAGGAAGATGGTGCTATTTCTGATGACTGATTATTGTTAGCAGACATGTTGGGGAAACATTTAGCAGAAGAGATCCTTCAGCTGCAGGCAAAGTCACTTTATCATCCTGGTTACCAAGAAGGAAACAAAACCCCATTAGTATTTGTCCACTGCATATTGACTGAAATGCATTTTGTTCACTCATTCCATGTGGTTTCTTTGGGTGATCCTTTGACTATGCAGGTAAGTATTTGGTGGCCTTAAGGAGCTACCAACTTAAGGAGTTAGTTGGAGAGACCATGCCTGAAGGCAATACCTTTGAAATTACTGCATAATAGGAAGGAAAGCAAGGGGACTGTAAAGTAAAGGAGCGATTATTGTTTAGTGATACAGTTGTTAGGAAAGATTTATTCATCAAGAAATATTGCCACAGTAAGCAAGACTAGACTGTCTTCCAGAGGCTTGAAATTTGGGGAGAGCATTTATGCAAATTGATTTTGACTATACATGCCCACAGCAGCATATCCATCTTTTGAAAAGAGGGCTGGGGGCCTCCCTGGTGGCTTAAGGGGTTAAGACGCAACCTATATGAAGCTGTCTGCAGCCTCTGCAGCATGAGTTCGATCCCCAGTTGGCCAGGGAGCTACCCACAAGGCACAGCAGATCTCTCCTGACTCGCCTGCTGCTCCCCTCGGCAGTGTACTTTGGTCGATCTGCCTGTTCTGTTCCCCACTCTGTCTCTGGTGAATCCTCTTACCCACCCCCACCCCCACCCCACCCCGCCCCTACACCTCTGGCCTGTACTCCAGCTCTTGTATGCATAAATAAATAAATCTTTAAAAAAATGAAATGAGGGCTGGGCCTGTGCTTACCAGGATGTCCTATCGAAAGCACAGAAAAATAAAGAGTAACTGGCAACCCAGGACACAGTCTTAGGCAGCCATCCTGGTTTTGACTTGTGATTCAGATCCTGACTCATTTTGACCATGATTTCTGACTGATCATAGGTGAATTTTGTGGTTAGGTTGGGAAATATTACTTTTACAATACCTGATTGTAACCAGCTGATTTTAGCTCATTCATCTGTAGACTGACTTCACAAAGTGGCTGCCTCAGTTGAAGCAGGCTGGCACACACATCTTACTCAGCTTAAATAATATTTTTAAAATAAAAATAAAAATACATTTTTAAGCAAAAATAAAAATTAGGGCCTCCCTGGTGGCACAGGCGGTTGAGCGCCGTACTGTGAAGCTGTCCGCAGCCTCTGCAGTGTGACAAGAATCCCACATTGCACAGCAGACCTCTCCTGTCTCACCCGCTGCTCCCCTGAGCAGTGTATTTCGGTCCTTCTGCCTGTTCTGCTCCCTGCTTTCTTTCTAGTGAATCCTCTCACCCTCCTACGCATCTGGCCTGAGATGCTCTTTGTCCTTCTCACTGGGCCAAGACCCATCTGACATCCAGAAAGACTTTGTGATTTGGAGATCAAATATGTGCAGAGAGACTTGCAGCGGATGAACAACAGAGTCCTAGGGGTAGGAAGACAGGCTGTTTCATAGGAGGAACAGGGTTGCTTTGTTTAATGTGGCTGTAGGTAGTGGCCTGGGTCAAAGGGGTTGAAGAGGCAGACAACCCTGGTGTATGCCAGCTTCACCAGCATAACTATTCTTTCCTCACGTCTCCTTCTGGACCCTCTTGTGCCCCGCTGACCATTAGAACAGGTGTATATCCAGGGAATCAGTCAAAGGACCTCATTTGACTCCTGTTCTTTCAGCCCCAAGTATCAATTCTTTGTCTTCACTGTCCTCTATACATTCTCAAAAGAAGGGAAGGCTCTGACATCTTTCTGACAAGGAGGGAAAATGGTGGCCCTGCTCCAGATCACAAGTGCCCTGTGGTCCCTGCTCAGGGTCCCTGGAGGGGCCTGGGGTCTAGCCCATGGCTCCCTGCTTCAGCCAGGTCTACCTTGCCTGACTTTGCCTCACCAAGTCCCTGCATTGCAACCTGTGAGAGACTCTTTCTGGTCCAGCCCTACCAATTCCCCTGAGCTCCAGCAGGGGGCGCAGCTGTATAGCTTGGCCACATGCCCAGAAATAACTGAATATATTAGTGAGACAACCATTTTAGATAATCAGCTGAGGAGGAATCTGTTGACAGGGGAAATTGAAATAGGAATGCAAAATAGGCTTCAGAAAGAGCAGAATGACTTGGTAGTTAAGATCTGGGGCTGGATTTCCTGTGGTTAAATCATAGTTAGGCCACTTACGAACTGTATGATTTTGAGTGAATTTCTTCAAAGGCATCATTGTTTCTTCCCTTTCTTTCTCACCCTCCATCAAATCAGGCCAGCTTCTCTTTCAGATCTCACCCTCTTGATGCTCTCTCTCTGGTGCTGCCTTTCTTGCCACCATGGCTTCTTGCCTAGATTCCTATAGTCACGTCCCAGAAGGTCTTTTTTACACATGGTAGCCGGCTTGTAAAAGAAACTCACATCACGTTCCTCCCCTAAAAGCCAAATTCATTTTAGGGCCTGCAGATCCTTTTTTGTTTGGCTCCCATCAGCTTTCCTACTTCCTACTTCCTACTTCCTCCCTCCCTCAGCTACTGCCACCCTAGTCTCAGGGTTGTTCCCAGCATGCCAGGTACTGTCTCTTGTGAGCCTGTGTTCTCTCTCCTGGGTCTGCTTCCCAGGTCGCTGCCCAACGCACTCCCTTACCTTCTTCCTGCCATATCTCGGTGAGACCTGCCCTTATTGTCCTGTGACCTGTCACCTGCTCAGAGGCCGCTTCTGATCTCCCCTAACCTGCCCTGCTTTTTCCTTTTATCCAGAGCCTTTATCACCTGCCTATATACTAAGTATTTTATTCATTTCTTGTCCCCTCTCTCTGGAATGTGAGTTCCCTGAGGACAGGGATCTTTGTTTTATTTATTGATGTAGCCCAAGTGCCCAGAACTGTGCACAGAGGAGGTAATACAAAGGTTGAATGTGTGAGTCCCAGTCCTTTGCAGTTTCTTTGACCACTCAGTAGATGATGAGGATTCTTGGCCCTGATCCTCTGCTTTGGCTGTGCTCTGGCTGCGTCATGTATGCCAAGGGCTTTCTGACATGCATGGCCCAGAGCAGAGCCTGGAACCCAAGCCTCTCCCTCCCCACTGGGTGGCATGTCTGAGAACACTTAGTGCTGTCAGCTCTGTTACCTGTTTGGAGCTCTCACCCCCAGAAGAGGTGGGTTCCCTTCCCCTTTAAATAGGCCTTCATGGGCCTCCCCGGTGGCGCAGTGGTTGAGCGCTGGGTTGCGAAGCTGCCCGCAGCCTCTGCAGTGCGGGTTCGATCCCCGGCTACTCCCCGGCCACTGGAGGAGGGTCCTGCATGGCACGCAGACCTCTCCTGCCGCCCGCTGCTCCCCTCAGCAGTGTACTTCGGTCCTTCTGCCTGCTCTGCTCCCCGCTCTGGCTCTGGTGAATTCTCTCACCCTCCCGTGCTTCTGACTGGACCCAGTGCTTGTATAAATAAATAAATCTTTAAAAAAAAAATAAAAAATAAATAGGCCTTCATATTTCCTCTGGTTTGTATTGGACTGTCAGCTATTTCTTGTCCCTCCCATGTATCCTCATCCAAACCATAATACAAATGTCAAATGTCCCTTATGCCTGATTTGGGCATCATTATCCTCACTTTATAAATGAGGAAATCGGACTCAGTGTCTGAGGGAAAAGGAGATTGCCATCTATATTTAAGGGTCACAGAGATAAAAAGTAGTTTGGGCATCAAAAATGAATCAAATCAGGGAGCAAGAGAATATTTTTTTGCTGAAGAAATTGGAAGATCTTGAATACAGCTCATTTTCTGGGAATCTGATTGGGCTCAATCTTTGGGGACCCTGGTCCAGACTGCTCTCTGAGCTCATGCCTCTGGTTTGGCTCTCTGAGGGGACTTCCCCTTGGTCCTCTGAATGCTGACTCCTTCCTTATGAGTCCTCTCCCCTCTGAGGCATCTTCCTTTTTGATCCTCTGACCCTCACTTTTATGGGATCCCTCTCTTTAACTTTGAGACTCCTTTATCCTTCAATGTTTCCCCTCTTCTCCAGGGAGTCTGATACAGTCATCCCATGTGACCTACTCTCTGGGCATCCATGGTTCCTCTTATCACTCCCAAGTACTACTAAGCCATCACAGCAAGTGTCCTGAAATCTGCCTAGCCTCACTATCAAACTTCCTGGGCTATGATTTGGCACATCTGAGTTCTCCTTTTATTTAAAAAATTATTTATGCATATGTAAACTGGGGTACAGGCCCAAAGTATGGCGGGGTGAGAGGATTCACCAGAGACAGAGCGGGAACATAACAGGCAGACTGACTGAAATACACTGCTGAGGGGAGCAGCGGGCTAGACAGGAGAGGTCTGGAGCACCATGTGGGTCACCTCACTGGTCGGGGATCAAACTCATCCTGCAGTGGCTGCTAATAGTTTTATAGTGCTACATTTTAACCCCTTGCGCCACCAGTTATTGGAACCAGGAAAATGTCCTCCTGTTTCTAGATTTGGAATGCTACTCTCATTGTTCTCTATGCCTCAACTATTTGCATAATGCTTTGAATTGTTATCATTTGCAAAAACAAGTGTAAACTACTGAACTGATAGCAGCCTCCTATAGCAAACTTTGTGGTCTCCATTTTACAGATGACAACACCTAGGTTCAGAGAAGCCAGATACCTTGGTTATGGTGAGGCAGATAACAAGTGGCCAAACTAGGGTTTGGATCCAGGAAGCTGTCATTGAGTTCTTTTCTAATGTTGACTGTTCTGAGGGCCAAAACTGGTGTTCTTTGGAGAAGAGCATTTCTTAGGGCACTAGCTTTTGTTCTCGAAGCCTCTTCTACAATTTCTAGTTAAACAGTCATTGTCTGTGATAAAGAGGGTGAGTGGAGAGGAGGAGGTGTTGGGTTTCTGTCAGTCACTGAGCACGTACTGTGTGCCTAGGCCATGCTAAGCTATTTTACTTTTTACTTAAATTTAAAGATTCACAAAAATCTGGTAAAATATTATTCAAGTAAGAAAACCAGGACTCAGAGGGTAGGTAATTGGCCTTAGGCCTTAGGTACTCAGCACCATACTCAGCACCCCGCTAGCTCTATCCAATTCCAAGTCAACTGCCCTGCCAAAGAGATGATGAGAGGATATATCGTATTTTCATCTTTACAACTCAAGTTTTTAGTGATTCCTTCAAATATTTAGAGATTGATGGCAATTATTAAAAAGAGCAAGGAAATACTCTTTTAGTTTCTGTTGCCTAAAAGAAAATTCATTTAAATGAAAAGATATCATCAGGTTAATGTTTACTGGACAAATTTTTAGGAGTCACAATACAGTGGCTTTGAATTGACTTAAATTTACAGAATTATCTGAAACAAAGTGTGGGATTATTGAGAACTATTTTACAACAGGTGACTAAATCATTTTCAGATAGCTCAACTTAGGATCCCAGTAGAAGCATATTTTGGGGGTGTGCCTGATGACATTACGGTGTGCTGAGGTCCCTGTGTTCTCAATAGGCACGTCACGGAGCATGCCTGGGCTGCCTGACTGGGCTGCGCAGCAGGGGGACTGAGAGACAGCGTAGTCTCAGCTGAGCTTCAAGCCATGTGTGTGATTTTGAACATATGTGCCTCGCTCCTCCCACACATGTGCCTCATTTTCTTTTCTCATTTACAGTATTAATGGATTGACCTAGAAGAGCTGCAGGTTCCTTCCTGCCCCAGTTTCTAAAGACTGTCCCTTGTTCAAAACCCTTGGGGAAGCTGTGTTGTGGAATTCAGACTTCTTTTCTGATTTAGACTGGCCTGAGGGTGAATCTATCACAACTATTTAACCACCCAGAGGAGTCTGGGGCAGCACCCTGTAGTAAAGCAGATTAGAATTTCTGCAGCAAAGCATATAAATTTTCACAGTAAGTAGGATAAAGAGAAACATTAAGTAGCCTCACATTAGTTCAGGTTGGATTTTGCCTCCAGTTGAGTTTTAGCAGATCAGGTTTTGTACCCAAATGAGTTTATCACAAATTTATCAAGGTTTTCAGCTTTCAGAACTTTTTGGATTACAGAATTGGTGGATAAAGGATTTTCAGCTTGAACTTAACATTGTTTTGGATGCCCTGCTGCTGCTCTGTTGTAGTTAGGATTTTTCTGATGCTGGGCTTTTAAGGGGAAACAAAGCACGTCTAAAGTACAGTTTCTTTAGGAAAAATCAAATCCACTTGATGCAGATCCATTCTGCCATTGCTGTTTTGGGCCTCACAATATGGCTAACAGGGGCAATAAGAATTATTTACAATCATGGCTGTGCCGCCTTCAAGACCTGGAACCAAGCAGTAGCAGCGTCACCCAGTTAGGGTCTTGGCTGGTACTTACAATGTCAGGGAGTGAACTGAGTCCAAGCCAAGAGACTTTCCAACAATAACAGCTGAAAGAAAAACAGTAACAGTTAGCTCTTAGTTGCTCAGAAAATTAGCCAGAGAATACCTCACTCCCTAAGAATACTGGATTATGGATACATTTCTATACTAATATTGAATAGATTCATTTTTGTTGTACATGTTTCTTCCTTAACCTTCCTTGGTCACTAGCGCTCCCTGAATGTCCCCTATGGAAATCAGACCTAAGTTGACTGCACTTACAGTGCCCACCTTGCCATTTCCTCCACCCCATCATGAAGTGTTCTGACCAGTCTCAGCACTGAGTGCCCCCTGCCACCCTCACCCCGTGCCCCGGGCACTGCAGAGAACTCACAGGCATGCCACATAGATTCTGAATTTTTGAGGAGAACAATGGTACTTGGTACCTGTTGGATATAGTGTGACCTGCTAACATTAGATTACACAGAAGTCCTTTTAATAATGGTATATTTTGTAAAGCTAGGTTTGGGCAGTTGTTGAGACAAAAAGTAAATATCACACAAAAATCAGTGTGGAAGAGGAAGTGAGGGTGGCCGTGTACAACCTGACCCTAAAGTTGGAGACATCATGTGATGCCCAGTGGGCACACCTATTCCTTTAGGAAGTCACCAGGGGTGATTGCAAAATGAAATAAAAGCATTTTCTTTCATTTTCTGTATGTTAATTCTGACATACCTATGTAACATGAGGATACTACATAAAGGTTAAGATTTTTGGGTAAGAATTAAAAACGATTATGAAATTTTTCTAGTTTAGGGTATCTTGAAAATTGCGCTAGGACAGCTAAAGGATCCTGTGACCTAAGAGAGTTTGGGAACTTCTGGTATAATTCACACAGTTGCTCAGATGTTAGCAACTTAGAGTCACTTTCATCCTCCCAAGCCCGCCAGTCAGTCATTCTGCCCTCTTGGTGCCATCTTCCAAAAAGTGTCCTGAATCTGCTCTTCCCACCACGGTGTCATCATCCGCATCTAGTCCAGCAGCTTCTACAACAACCTTCCTGCTTTGGCTCTTGCATTCCAAGAATCTCTTCTTCAGAGTGATTTTTTTCAACATATAAAGTAGATGATGTTTCTCCCCTGCTTTTAAAAAATCCCTTGATGGGGTCCACTTCCCTTTGAGGGGTTCTCAAATGTCTGCTTCCTTTCTGGCTCTCCTGGACTCTCACCCCTCTCTTTGCTCACTACACCACAACCTGTGCCTCTCTGGGGCTCTTCCAAGAGTCCTTCCCATTGCTGGGCAGGTTCCTCATCTAGATCTTCAGATGTCTCGCTTCCTCTCAAGTTCTGGCTCAAAAATCACTTCCTCTAATCACTGTGTATCATACTGTGTTCTTTTATTTTCTTTTTAACATTTTCATCATGTTCATTGATTTATAGATTAGAGAATCGAAACTGCTCTCTTGTTTGCCAGTGCATTCCTGCCACCTAGAATCATGCCTGGCACATAGTAAGAGGTTAGTTAATATTTACTGAAGTAGATAAACGAGTGATTGCTTCATATGGTTGCATATTTGGCTTATTCACCGATGGCTCCTAGTGGCGAAGATCAGGAGTGTGTTGTACAGTTAGTGTATAAGTACACACACACACACACACATAGACACAGTGTGTATATTGTGTTGTGTATCTATTTATATACAAAACACATTTTACAAGCCAGGCGATCACATGTTTCCTGTATTCTTTGGGGAGAGACAACAGATAGTTACCTTATATGAACTCTGCTTTTCTTAGCAGTACTGTAGTTTATCATAAGTAATTGTATTGGGTTGGATAACTAATGAGGCTGCTTCATCATATCCTTTGTTGTTATTCATGGCAAGCACGCTCTTCCCTTCCGTTTCTTTCCTTCTTTTTAAATTAAGGAGTTGAGATAAAGATGTATAAAGGCACATTTCCACAACTACAGGATGAAACGGAACGTGGGCATGCTGTTGTCCAGTCTTGACCCCCTGCTGATGTGTTTTCTTGGACAACGCTATGTCGGGGAAGGGGGAGCAGCGAATGGTTCAGGAGCAGATGTGGAATCACCCCACACCTCTCACAAATGCCAGTGGGAATTAAACAGGGCTGGTTTTAATAAGATTAATTCTGAAATGCTAGCAGGATTGGCACACATGTAAAGATACAGGGCATTTATAGCCATCGAAGATTAAAGGAGCTTTCACACAAAGCAATTTTATTTTTCAACATCAAAGAGATGCTTCCAAGGGGTTGCTTGAAGGAAGCACATTGCAACATATGGGGGTGGGGAGGGAAACAAAAGCTTCTTGACACTAAGGACTGTTTGCTAGTCAGGAACTGTATCGGTGCATTCACTCCCTAGGACATTCAGAACACTGTTCTTCGAATCACAGGATAGTGAAGAAGGGGAGCCCAGGAGTTAGGAATCAGGGGGACAAATCCCCCTAGATAAGGGGCCACCCAGATATAACCTTGGATTTGCAGGCAGGGCAGCTCAATACTTCCTGAGACGGACTCTTGGACAGCTCTTATAAAAAGCAATGAAGATGATGCCATTAATGATAAGATAAGAAAGAGCATAGCCACCGTTTCTATGTGCCAGGCACTGTAACACACAGCAACTCACAGACTTTTGCCACTAACTCTTCCTCTGCTGGGCATTCAACCAGCCTTCCCAGCTCTGCTCTTTGGAGCCTTGCACAACATACTCCTGCACTGCACAGGGGTTGCATTGTTTGAAGGTGGCTCTTATGTTCTCTCTGTGTGTGTGCATGCATGCTAAACTTAAAATTATTTTTTTGAACCTGACACAGGTATTTATATGATCAGTATTGAATTTTATCTTGTTGGCTTTGCTGCATTCTACCACCCTGCTCAAATATTTGTGACTCTGATTTTATCATTCAGTGTATTGACTAGACCTTATAAAATGTGCTATTGAAAATAAGCTCCCAACTCTCTCTCTAATCTCTTTTCCTTTCTTCTTTTCCTCATTCTCACTGCAAATATTCACTGAGGACTTTCTATGTGCCAGATGCTGTCAGGAAGGGGGGGTTGCAAGGTTGCACAGGGCACAACTGAAGACCCCAAGAAAGCTTCTTGCTTAAGCAGGGAGACAGAAATATAAATGAAAATGCAGTACAGTGTGATTGTGTCATGAATGAAAAAGGAGGAAGAGAACATTAGCTTGATTTGGAAGAGTATCTGTAAAAGGGAAAAAATAGAGTCAGGATAATGTGGACATCACCTTTGGCTTCTTTGAACCCCTCTGGGTTCAAAGGGGGTACTTGGCAGACCCCACTTAATTAAAAGGTAACCAGAGGATGTCCCAGAACTAGAAATGGGGGACAGACTTTAGCCACCATAAAGAAATGGAAAGAGAATTCTGTGTGGGGGATGAGGGTGAGGGCGCTCATTTATGGAAGGAGGCCAGGCTATCACTGCCCAGAGTTACAGCTCTCCCCACCTCCCCCCCACACCCTCGCCTTATGGGTGGTGCTCTTCCTCCCCTCTGTAGACCTCCCTAAAGAACCAAATTCAGCTGCCTTGGCTAGAGGCTGCATGCTTTCATATGACAGACCAGAGAAGCAAGGAACATTCAAGATTCCAATTCAAGATCAGGGAGGATCAGAATGAGAAAGGAAGGGGGTCACTATGACCTAAAAATATTCTTAGTCACTGGAAAATCTGGGAAGATCAACAGCAAAGAGACTTTTTGTTATGACTGTGGGATTCTTTCAAGTACAAATACTAGGTCTCTTAGAAACCACGGAACTAGAATTCTCAGACTCGAATTCCAGACACAATGGCTCATTTGCTCATACCTCAGAACCCAGGATGGTGCCAGGAGCCTGCAGGTTCCCAGGTTTTAGGAATTTTATAGATCTATTATCCAAATTTGATCCAAGCCCTTGCTTAGAGAGGGACATCCCTGGGGCAGTGATTTCCTCTTCATGAAAGAAACCTCCATCGCCCAGAGGCTGTAGGTCCTGGAAATGAGTAGGTTCTGGCCAGGGGTCAGGGCCAGGGGTCCCCTGGATGCTGTTTCTGGATCTCTCCTCAGTGCCTTCCAGAATCCTGAAGCTCTGTAGAAAGCTAGTGCACAGACGGATTTGGTTAGGGCGCCTGAGCTCCTCCTCTTGCGTGGAGTTCAGGAAATTATCGCCTGGGTGCGGAGTGCTGATAGTGTGTCCATCTACGTGGTCAGAGATAGCTCCTGGGGTGTGGAAGGCAAGGCCACAGGCGGGTGCAAACCAAACGCACAGAGCTGAGCTCCAAAAGCTCGAAGCTTTTTCATCTTGGTTATAGTCCGCATACAAAGCATACGTTGTGCAAAAATAAAAAATGATGTAAAAATATATAAAATAAAACATATATATATATAAAAGAAATCTGGATGATAGAATGAAGGAAAAAAAAAAGTTCGAAGCTGTGAAGCAGCATCAAGCCGGAGCCTATCACTATCACTGGGGATATTAACAGGGCTGGGCATCTTACGTGGATTTGGAGCAGGGAGCTAGTTTTAGGACTTGGGGTGTGCTGCCTAAGCACCCCTTTCTTCCAAGGGCAAAGACCACTCCAAAAAGAGGGATTAAATACGAAAAACACAAAACACAAAAACTAGCACTTCCCATTTGTGGCAGGACATGGAACACAGACAAACATGTCCAGACGGAGAGATTGGGCTGCACAACCCCAAAGCGAAGAGACCAAGTAAACCCCTGAGGTCCAGGAGGAGACTACTAGGGACCGGGTCGAAGACTCAGGACTGAGGACTGTGGAGGGTTGGGGATTGCCGGGCAGGCACTAATTAACAGTACTCATCAGTCTCAGCTGCAGAGGCGGGAGGGCAGGCCTCCCTGTTTCCTGGTGCAAGAAGCCTCTAGCTCCCCTAGATGCTCCCCAACCCCTGCTGCCGGCTGGGGGCCGGAGGAGCAGGAGTCCATCTCTCAGCGCGCACATGGTGGGTAATATCCGCGGCCTTACCCGAGCCAGAAGGCTGCGCCAATGCCGCCCAACCTCCAGGCGCCATAGATTGTTTCAGCCCCGGTTACTGTGGGAACCGCGCCCCGGCAATGGGCAATGGGGCGGCCCAGTCCGCGGTGCGCCACGCCGGGAGTTCCATGCCTCTGGGCCTGCCCCTGACCTGCCAGCAGGCTTTTCTCGGAGGAAATGTTTGGGCCAGACCTCCTTAGCTGGCCAGAAGGTTTTCTTCATTATTTGCAGCAAGATCGTGTGTGGCAAATGTTTCCCAAAATGGGAACGGCACACTGCCCTTTTTTGGAGCCTGGTGGAGACGCTGTCAGGTGTCAGGCTGCTGGGGCGCTGCTGGAGTGGGGTTGGCCTGAGGCATCCTGAGTGCATGCACCTGGGTGGATAAAGGCCTCTGAAGTATACCAGTGGGCAGGTGCCTCTTAGCTCTCTTGAGAACTGTTGGGGGGAAGGAGTGGCGGGAGCTATTTTGAAGTGACAGAGTCTAGGTGCTCAGGCTCAGTGTAGCAAGGGCTGGAAGGAGCCAGTGAAGTTCAGCAAGTCCTCTGAGTGAACTTGCTGGGGGTTGTAGAGTGGCCTCCCCGGAGCTGAGGAAGTCAGGTGCCATCCATTTGTGTCAGGGTCTTGGGTCAATTGTCAGAGGCCAGAATAAAAACGACGTGGCTCTTTGAGGTACCTATAATTTCTTTTCCCACTATAAGTACTCATTTTGGGGCCCTGAAATTCGTGTTCATATTTTTTTATTTTTCTCAGCATGTTCACCAAGTTGTGTGTGCTCCTGCCAGCATACACACAAGTCCTGAAGAATTGTAAGTCCCGCATGCAAACCAGCAGTGTGTGACACTGAGTTTTTTTCTGTTGCCTGTCAGTGGTCTGTGTCAGGCTCTTGGGAAGGGGGGCCTGGGGGAGAGGTGTGGAATAGAGAATCTTAGTGGTTTCACCCTGCTTTGTGGTTCCACAAGAGACAGACAAGTGGAAAGTGATCAGATAACTCTCTCTGGCTCTCCCTTTCTTCCCAGTGCGGAAAATGTTGGAGAAAAGCCACCCCAGGACTTTTTGACTTCAGTGATTGTCCCCTGACATTTTTTAGCATGGAATCCAGTCAGCCTGGGCACGGCACCATGGAGCTTGCTGAAGTAGGCCCTTAGTTTCCCCATGATCACAAGCTGCCAAGACTCCTGCCAGTTAGTTAGATTATAAATCAATACTGAGGTTGACCATACAATAGCAATGAGAAAGCCTGGCATTTCAGAGCATGATGGAATAGCCCAGGATCTTTTTTTTTTTTTTAATAATAAATTTTATTTTTATATTCCCCATACAATTGCAGCCCCCCCATTCTGACCCCAATCTCTCCCCTCCCACCCCCGCCCCCTTAAAAGTGTCTCTGGTTCATAGTTTTTTGTTGATTTTGATTTTCACTTTCTTATAGTTATTCGTTTTCCTTGTCCCTTATTTAAGTTTTTTAGATTCCTGCTATGAGTGAGACCATCCGGTATTTTTCTTTTTCTTTTTGGCTTATTTCGCTGAGCATGATCCCTTCCAGTGCCATCCATGTTGCTGCAAATTGCATGTGTTTATCTTTTTTGAATGCTGAGTAATATTCCATGGTATATATGTACCACATCTTCTTGAACCAGTCATCTATTTTTGGGCATTTGGGTTGTTTCCAAAGCTTAGCTATTGTAAACAGTGCTGCTATAAACATAGGGGTGCAGGTGCTCTTTGGAATTGATGTTTCTGTGTCCTTTGGGTAAATACCTAGGAGTGGAATTGCTGGATCATATGGAAGCTCTATGTTTAGTAGGTCCAGAAATCTCCACACAGCTCTCCACAGTGGTTGGACCAGTTTGCACTCCCACCAACAGTGCAGAAGAGTTCCTTTTTCTCCACACCCTCGCCAACATTTGTTGTTGCTAGTTTTTTTAATATGTGCCATTCTCACTGGTGTAAGATGGTATCTCATGGTAGTTTTGATTTGCATTTCCCTGATGACAAGTGATGTTGAACATTTTTTCATATGCCTGTTGGCCATTTGCATTTCCTCTTCAGAGAAGTTTCTTTTTAGCTCTTCTGCCCATTTTTTGACTGGATTATTTTCTTTGTTGTTGTTGAGTCTCATCAGCTCTTTGCAGATTTTTGTGATCAGTCCTTTATCATTAGTGTTGGGTGCAAAAATGTTCTCCCAGTTGGTGGGGTTTCTCTTTGTTTTTGTTATTGTCTCTTTTGCTGTGCAGAAGCTCTTTAATTTGATGTAGTCCCAGCTGTTTATCTTTGCCTTCACTATCACTGCTTTGGATGATGTGTCTGTAAAGATGTCTCCTGAAAAAAAAAGAATGGAATGGAGGCATCACACTCCCAGACTTCAAACTCTACTACAAAGCCATAATCATCAAAACTGCATGGTATTGGAACAAGAACAGACATACAGACCAATGGAATCGAATAGAAAATCCAGAAATAAACCCACAGATTTATGGTCAACTAATCTTTGACAAAGGAGCAAGGACTATGCATTGGAGCAAAGAAAGTTTGTTCAATAAATGGTGCTGGGAAAACTGGGTCGCTACATGCAAAAGAATGAAGCTTGACTACTACCTCACACCATACACAAAAATCAACTCAAAATGGATTAAAGAACTAGACATAAGACCTGAAACCATAAAATATATAGAAGGAAATATAGGCGAAACTCTACGTGATTTGCACATCAAAGCCCAGGATCTTTTATAGAAATGAAATTTCTTACCTGGATCCAGCTGAGGTTTTCAAGGAATAACAAGAAGACAGAGGATGCTAGTAGGTATCCAAAGGACTCTTTGGTTCCTAAGAATCTCTTGAAGCATGAAGGAAGAATTTGAGACTAGGTTATAACAGTTTGTATGGGGTAGGGGGGAACTCCTCAGTCTACTGAGATCTATACCTTTCAATTATACTAACTTGGGGGAACTCTAGCCCCTGATAGACTCCATAAACTTCATCTGAACATGTGTACTTGGTTTGCAAACGTTGCTTCTAGGCAAGTTTCCAAGTCCCAAGTTTCCAAGCTTCTAGGCAAGTTTCACTTCCCCTAAGGCTGCCTCACAGAAATTTCAGTTGTATTCCTGGTGACTGAAATCTGGGATGGTGTCATGTCAAGATCATCCACAAGATGGCGCACATGAGTCTTGCTTTTATTATTCACTGTTCATTCCTTTGTCAGTATTTTATTGAATGTTTATTATGTGCTAGTATTATTATGGGAGTGCTGGGGATGTAATGTGAACAAGACAAAGTCCCTGGTTACAAGGAATTTTAAAAATCAATGATTTTATATTTTCACAGGCAAAATTCAACTGTGATGTTCGTTTCCCTATTTACATTGCTGGTATATACTTTAGATAATGTTACTACATTTCTGATAGTTGCACACACTTCCCTCTCCCCTCCTCCTTCAGACTTGTATGAGACGGAGAAAATACATTTATCGTTTGACTGAAGATAGGTGTAATTTGTGTCTGTGTAAGTCACTGTCTGTGATGCTTTTTGCCAGGAAGACACTGCCACTTCACTTAGGTAATTCCAAATTGCTGCTAAGCACCAGTCTATCATTCCAAGCTCTCAGCTTGGAATACCCAATTGAGCAAATCAACTTCGTTTAAGGAGAAGTTCTAGTAGGTCTTTCAGATGTCCTGGTAATCTGCTAAGGAAAGGTGAAATGGGCAAAATAGTAACTCAGCCCTCTGACCATCTTTCCCAGAGAAGGAGTACAGTTAAAGAGCTGACTCTTACCAAAGGGAAATCTGAAATCATAGCTGAGGGAGACAGGCCAAGGTCTTTGTGACCCGCCCGTTCCTCCAGCTTCAGTAAGCGCTATCCTTGTACTCAGTTCAACTCACAAAGGTAGGATCTTTTAGGCCACTGACTACACTAACTTGGCTGCTTCTGGAAATTCTTTCACTTATCTGTGATTGAAGATAGGCCTTCAATTTTAATTGTAGACTACTAAAAAATAGTCACAAAATAAATGTTTCTGTACTTTGGTAAAAAATAACTGCTAAAAACCTGTTCACTTTACCAATTAAGTATCCTTTATGTAAGGAATCAATAAATTGATTGTATTGCAGTTTATTTTTTGGTTTTACTGCTAAGAAGCTCAAAGTCAAAAACAGAAGGAGTTGCAAGTCACTGTGTTACCCATGGTCTCTAACAATCTTCTTTCTCTGTATGGTTTTCATTTTTTTTAAACGTTTGTTTGGCCATATGCTTTGACTTGGCATTCTATTTGAATGTGCCATAGGCATATCCCTTTTAATATGGCCCAAATCAAATTCCTGTTCTTCCCCTGTGATTTCCTCCTTCCTTAGTCTTTCCTGTCTCAGTAAACAGTAACTCCCCGGCTCAGATGTAACTTGACATGTAACTTGCTATGAAACCTGGTGCTTTTACTTATAATATACACCCGGAGGCAAAGCAGCAGCCGCTCTCCTGCCCAGCTGTGTCTATGCAGGTGCCTCTCTTTTCCTTTCTCCTTTTCCTAACAAAGCTGTCCTTTTAATAGTGAAAAATAAGATAAAATGAAACAAAGAAGAGAGAAAGAAAGAATATACACCCAGAATCTGGTCATTTCTTACCACCTTCTCTTAACTGGAAATTTTCATAAACGTTGTAACTGGTGTCTCTATTTATATGCTTTGTTCCCCTATGTCTATAGTTGACAAAACATCCAGAATGATCTTTATAATAGGTCAAGTTATAAAAGTTCTCTGCTCATCTTTTTATGGCTTTCTGTCTTACACAAAGGGAAAAAACTCAATATCTCCAGTTCTTGGTCCTTTCTTCTCACCTCTGGTTCTCTGTCCTTGTAAGCTGCTCCTGGCAGAGAGAGCCACATGGGTGTCACGTGCCCCCACATTACGACCTCTGTCTGGAAGAGTCTTCCCCAGTATCCACTTGATTGCTTCTTCCTCACATCTTTCCTCAATATCATCTTCTCACTTAGAGGTTTCCTAAACACCTTCTCATTTTTCTCCATAGCACTTATCACTGTCTGATAAGTGGTATGTTCTTGGTATGTTC